CCTTTCATTATGCCAACAGCCCTGGGCACCTGGGCAAATCTCATCAACATCTTTGGAGGAATGTAACAATATTCTAGGCTTTGAGCTATTCCTTTAAATGAAAATCTAATGTCTAACACATAGTCAAAGATTCAACAACTATCTAAGACTTGATGAGCAGTAGAAATAACAGCCAATAGAAAGCACACAAGAATTCCAAATAACGGATTTCCCAAGCAGGGTTGTAAAACAACGGTGCTTATTCTATTCCAGGAAAAACGCCAAGCTTTACAATGGTGACAGGAAACTGAAAACTATAAAACAAGACAGGAGATGGGGGGTGGTGGTGGTGGTGGTGGGAAAGCACAGCGTGAGAAAACCTATTACAAAGAAGATGTGGGATACATCAACAAGTACACCACAGAAGAGACATGAAGACATGGCGCACGGTAGCCACCTGGCCGCTAGACCTGGCAAGCTACCACTTCAAGTGGAGCAGGGAATAAAAGGCCTGATTATTTTGTTTCCAATATGAAAGTTGTTTTACAAATTTGCTAGACATCACAAAAACACTGGCAGGATTGAAAAAACTCAAGAAGAGGGTCAGTGAGACAGGAACGAAAAACGAAATGTCCTACAAGGAAAATTATGTGATGATCAGACATGACCCCCTCACTCAGCAGCAAACTTTACATTGTCATAATAATGAAGACAGCCAAACATGAAAAAAAGTTATCAAAACAGAGGGAAGATAAATGGGTGTATGTGTAAGAAAATTAAATCCAGGCTTTCCTGCTGGCACAAGGGGTTAAGTCTCAGCACTATAAAGCTATGGTAGCCACTGCAGACTTGTTCAATCCTGGGCCAGGGAGCTGACCCACATGACATGGCGCGGCAGACCTCTCCTATCTCGCCTGTTGCTCCCCTCAGCAGTGTATTTCAGTCCATCTGCCTGTTCTGCTCCCCAATCTGTCTCTGGTGAATCCTCTCACACCCCTCCTTGCACCTCTGGCCCACGCCCCAGACCTTGTATACATATATAAACCTTAAAAAAATTAAATACTCATCTTCATTAGTAGATAATCAATAGAACCTATTGAAAATTGTAAAATCACAAAATAGACATGTAAGTATGCTGTTTGCAAATATAACTTTTATATATATATATATCTATATTTTGTTCCATTATTTAGGAGTGTACTAATTTACCAATATTTGGAAATGTCCTGCCTTCCATTGGGTTAACACATATTTTTTAGGGACACGTTATTTCACCCATTGTCTTAGTAGCCACAGATCTTTTGGTTGTTTCATAGCGGTTGCTTGAAGGTTAACAAGATGCATCCTTAACTCAGTCTATTTAGATCAATAGTTTATCTGTTACACTTCATGCCTGAAACATCAAACTTCCAACTTTTCCCTTCTCAATTTATATGACATATCAGGACCTAACAAACTTAAAAGACAACATTCCATTGAAATACTATTCAGCTATTTTAAATGAAAGAGTAACTTTTGGGACAAAATGGATCAATCTTGATATTATACTAAGTGAAATAAATCAGGAAAAGGTATCTGATGGTTTCACTTATTTGTGTATTATAAATAAGGAAAACTAACTGGCAGAGCACAGCAGGAATAATTCTTAGACTGTGAAGAATACACTTGGCTACCAAAGGGAACAGGGGTTGGATGCATAGGACATTGGCTCAAGAGGTTTCAAGGGTGATGGAAGCATGTGTAAATATGGAGGTATAAAAATGTACTCCAAAATGATATAGTTATGGAAAAAGCCATCCAATTAGAGGAAAAAGCCATCCAATCTACCTGCCCTCCTAGTCTTTGTGGAATGTTGTGATAACTTTTACTTCTGTAAACCCCAGCTTACAAATATTACTTTTTTTATTTGTGTTAAAAATACTGAGGCTTACTGGTAACAGACTGAATCAAGATGTATTACATCCATACTATGAAATACTATTTAATGTTAAGGAAAAATGAAATGCTATCATTTACAGCAAAAAGGAAGGAGTTTGAGGGAATTATGTTGTAAAGCAAGTAAGAATGACAAAGATAAATGTTGCATATTTGCATAGTGGATGATTCCAGACAGTGCTTCTAGACACTAGCAGATAGAAAAAAAAAAGTTCTCATCTGTAAATGCCCTCATTCTTTTTTCCTTCCCAGTAGTTAAACAGCTCCTGAAGCACTAGCCAGCAAGGCTAGCGGTTCTAGATGGAGGCAGGGAAAATAGATAATGAATATGTCATGTCTTATGGTGCCAGGAGATAGGGAAAGACTCAAAAAGGAATGTGGATATGGCAAGAGGACATAGGAGTCAACAGGAAGATGTGGAGCAAGTTTTTCAGAGATAGCCATGTGCAATAAAACTGAGCCTATGATTTATGTTCATAGCGCTCAAATATACTCATGATGAAAATAGAAAAAAAAAATTAGTAAAAGGAAGTTCTACTGAAAAGCTACCAAGTTTGAAAGTCACTTCAGTCATTAGAAAGTATGTCCATATTGTATAAAGAGAAAACTTGAATCTTAATTTGGCAGTTTTTATCAGTAATGCTGGAAGTTACCATAAAAAAAAAATCATTACTGGAGAAAAAGGAACTCTCCTGCACTGCTGGTGGGAATGCAAACTAGTACAACCACTATGGAAAACTGTCTGGAGGTTCCTCAAGCTGCTAAACATGGAGCTTCCCTATGACCCAGCAATCCCACTCCTAGGTATCTACCCAAAAGACACAAAAACACTGATTCAAAAAGATACCTGTACCCCCATGTTTATTGCTGCTTTATTTACAATTGGAAAAACATGGAAGCAGCCCAAATGCCCAAAAGTAGATGACTGGATAAAAAAGATGTGGTACATATATACAATGGAATATTACTCGGCAACCAAAAAAGAGAAGCACATGTCTTTTGCAGCAACTTGGATGGAGCTGGAAAAGATCATGCTGAGTGAGATAAGCCAGAAAGAGAAAGAAAAATACCGGATGGTTTCACTCATAGCAGGAGTATAATGGACCAGGCGAGAACATAACAAAAATAATGAACAACCATATACCAGAGACATTTTGCGGGGGTGGAGTGGGGAATGGGATCAAAAACGGTGGTGGGGGGAGGGAAATGCACGGGATTATGGTGATGGCACACAGGTGACTTGGTGATGGGAAACCCGCGGGGATTACAATTGAGATGGGAAAAAAAATGTACAAAATGGCCCTCCCTGGTGGCTCAGCGGGTTAAAGCACAGCACTGAGAATCTAAAGCCGCTTCCGCATGAGTTCAATTCCCGCCAGCCCCGGAGGTGACCACATGGTGTGGCAGACCTCTCCTGACCCGCCCGCTGCTCCCCTCAGCAGTGTACTTCGACCATCTGCCTGTTCTGTTGCCCACTCTGTCTCTGGTGAAGCCTCTCGCCCCCCTGACCCTCTGGCCTGTACCCCAGTTCTGTATGCACAAATAAATAAAATCTTTAAAAAAAATGTACAAAATGATGTAAAAATAAACTTTTGTAATAAAAAAAATTTAAAAAAATAAAATACTATAATTAAAAAAAATCATTACTTTGCAAGTTGTTTGAAGTATCTATAAAATTCACATTTAAAAATGGCAAAGACAATACATAATCCTTCATGCCAAAAAGGTATTTTGTCTAAGGCTGCCCACAAGATCATAAAAGAAGCCAGAAGGTAATTGTGATGATCACATAGGTGGAACTCTGCAATAATCGTCTCTGAAGATGCTTCCCACTGCCAGGAGTCAGTTTACATCCTTAAAGGTTAGCTGTGACCTAAAAAACTAACATAAAAATCATTTGGACTTATTATGCTAAAGGAGTTTAATATTTTCTTCTATGCTATCAGTGTGTTAGTTTCCACACAAAGGGCTGGGCACTAGAAATTAAGTGGGAACAAACTAAGAGAGTAGGTTCTGAAATAATACTGTCAGGGTTCACAGTCCTCATCTGCTACATGAGCTTGGGCAAATTATACAACCACTGTGGGCCTGAATTTCCTTGTATGTAAAAATGGGGTGTTTTGTTTTTTAAACCCACCTGGGGTCCTCCTTGGTGGCACAACAGGTTAAAGCACAGCATTATGAAATCATCCACAGCCATTGCCACATGAGTTCGGTCCCTGGCCAGGAAGGTGACCCACATGGCACAGCAGACCTCTCCTGTCCCACCACCTACTCCCCTCAGCAGTGTATTTCAGTCAATCCGGCTGTTCCGTTCCCCAATCTGTCTCTGGTGAATCACCCCCCCCTCCATCTCTGACTTGTATCCCAGTTCTTGTACGCATAAATAAATAAATCACTTGCTTTTTTTTTTATAAAAAGCAAGTGGTAGGGGTTGTCAGAAGGTTTCGAAAGTCCTTAGTACTTCCACTGCACAAATAATTCAATAAACATTATTGCTTAGCCTGGAAATATATAAGCTTTGCCTCTAATGCTAGGTAATTTGGGTATAATTTTCAAACATTTATTTAACTTTCCATCATTTATCCAGTAAATATTTACCAAGGTTGCTACATAATACCTTACCTGAAACATAAAAAGAATCAAAGTTTTCATTTAAAACGTTTCTTCTTACTCCCTGAAAACAAAAGGTTTTGTTGTTTGGAGATATTATCTACACAAATAACAATTTATGTCTGAAAACAAACTATGAGATGCCTATGAAACTGATCAAAGCAATTTAACTAACAGAACTGCAAGAGAAAACCAAGTTATGTCTGCATGGGAAAATGTAATAAAGTATACCATGTGAAATAAGTAAGAATTTTGCTAGCTCCACCAACCCATTTACCAGATAATCATTTATTTGCTGTGCTTGATAAAGATTACTATTAAACTAGCTACTAAAACTTAACAGACAAGGAAAAGGTAACCAACAGAACTCTACACTAGCTTAATCTCTAAAGAAACGATATGTATTCATAGTTTCTTTTAAAGAGAGTCTTTATTTTAAGGATTTTTACACTAGAGAATCTAAAATGTGGTAAAATTTTTTTGGAATTTATTGACCTATATTTAAAAGGAAATGTTGACAGAGACTCACTGGAAATAATCTGAACAAGCAGGAAAATACAGTTAATACTACTTAAAAACTACCAAAATAATTCTAGGACATATGGTTTATCCAACATAACAATACCTTTTAGATGCTGTCATTAATGTGAAAATTGACTGCTTATTTATTACTTTTTGAAACACATAGTAGTGTGTAACTAACAATATTCAATAACTTCTGTTCTTTCCTGAATATATAAAAATTAAAATGCCAATTAAAAAACTAATATATCTTCTCTTTAAATGTTTCTTTAAATATTTTCATTCAACAGTGGTGTCACTTAAAAGAGTTTCCATTCAAAAATAAAACAACAATCCACCCAAAGGGAACTGATAGTCTACAGTGTAATATTACATATTGTAAATTAAAGAGTTCAGGAATGCAGCAAGGACATTTCTAAAACATGTAACAGACAAAACTCATAGAAGATACATGCAGTAAGTTCTACTAAGCAGCTGGCCACAGAACTAGAACATTTGATAATTTTACTGGTGACTTTCATGGGATTCCAGATGTCTCCAACTCAACTTGAACTCTCATCTTACGCTTTGTATTTGGCTTTTCCAGTTTCACTAATGACACAGATGTGCTATTAAAAACAAAAATCCAGACATTCACATTAGAAAAATGTATTTTGAAATGAAAGGCAAGAGCAGTATTTTGCATATCTTACACAAATAGCATTACACCGCCAGGTTTTATTTATTAAGATGTCTGTGCAGGGCCCTCCCTGGTGGTGCAACAGGTTAAAGCACAGCATTATGAAGCTATCGCAGCCACTGCAGCGGGAGTGTGATCCCTGGCCAGGGAGGTGACCAACAGGGCACTGCAGACCTATCTTATCCTGCCTACTGCTCCCCTCAACAGTGTATTTCACTCAATCTGCCTGGTGAGTCTTCTCAACCCTTGCACCTCTGACCTGTTCCCCAGCTCTTGTATGCAAAAATAAATAGGTGTTTTAAAATATATATATGAGGTTTGTGCAATCTTAATCTTCATGCGTGTTCATAAACTCATCCTTGGGAATCCTTCTCCAGAATAGGAGGCAGGCATTCAAAGGACAGGGAATTAAAAGATTTCAAGTAATTCATTCATTTTTTACTTACAACCTTATCTATCATCTGAAATAATAATGGGACAGTTATTTTAAAGCTATTCAACTATTTCAGCCAGCAAGAAGTGTCACCCTAGTCTGGCCAAATTCCAGCTCTAAGGACGTTTGCACTTGACTACAGCTTTATGTGACTAATGGGAACCATCAGTCTGTTCAAATTATGAGGTGCTGGAAAGAAAAAACAATTCTTCTCTTTAGTAAATCTTTATATGGGTTCTGAAAAATGAGAATGAGAAAGAGAAACATTACTTACATTCAAGTCCCTGAAGTATTCATTATAGTCAAGGGCATATCCTACAACAAACTTGTCTGGTATTTCAAATCCAACAACTAAAAAAAAAAAAATCAAAATACATCATGTAGATATAGAAAACATCACTTTCAAATACAGTATTTGCAAATGTGCATTTTCTGCAAATTTTCTCTGAACTAACCAAACCATTTCATATAAAACTTGTCTGTGTTTGGTTAAACGACTGACACAAAGTAATTCACTTACAGTCTGGTCTATATCCAACACTTCGAGGGGTCCTTTTCACCAGCAAGCTGTTAATTACAAAATGTGACATGTGACATATGGGGACATTACAAAAGAGACCATTAATGTTCTGCAACAGAGTTTCATTCGCATTTTTAACACACCCAAAGAAAGGAGGAAACAAAGCTAAATCACTGGTCAGGGGCAGCAGTTAATTCCCACTACAGATGAGGCCCTTCGGTTGATCTCTACCTCAACACAATGGACTGTTCTAAGAACTGCACAATGACTACCATCCCACCATCAAAAGGCAGATATAATCAGGAGAGTGAATGGGTAGGGAAAGCCAAGTAAGCACAGGTGAAAAGGTAAGTGTTTTCAGTCCCAAATCTGAAAATAAACTCCCTAAGCCACAAAGGATGAACATCACCTTTTAAGACTTTTCAGATGTGGCTTACAAAAAGGAAATCTGGGTTAAAATATAACTAGCATGCTAAATAAAAGAGCTAGTGTTTATTTTTGAGAGCAAAAGCTAAGGGGAGATGAGTCAACAATAACAAAACTAATTTTGTAGCCTAAATGCCTCCTGTTGAAAATTTTCAGCCATTTAAAAAAGCTACAGTCAGTGCTTTGGAATGCCTTTACTTGCATTAAAGGCTGTCCCAATAAAATTTATGATTTCATCCTTCCTAGGTAAATATAAAGAGCTGTAAAGAATCTGAAATGAGTCTCAATCTTAGCTGCACATCAGAATCACTTGGGAGCTTTAAAAAACAAATAAAACTCAGATACCCAGGCCACACCCCTGACAATTACATCAGAATCACTGGGGATAGGACACAGACTGGTTGTTTTTGTTTCTTTAAATGCTCAAGTGATTTCAATGTGAGGCCCAAGTTGAGAACCACTCGCCTAAGCTGTAGACTCCAAGGGCTCATGGAAACAAATCCCCTATGATTCTCTTTCATTAATTAGAGGTTACACATAGACTCAATTTCCATTGAGAAAAAAAGTAACAAACCAATCATAGAAAAAGCCATCCCTCTGCCTGAACTTACTCAGGAACACCAAAGAAAAGGTATGACTAAACTCAGTGCAAGCTGCACTAAAAGTTCAGGTGACTCAGCACCTCATATGCCCATAAGTATGAATGCTTAATAAAGTCGCACCTGCTAAGGCATGATTTTAACTCATCTTTGAAGCAATTCCCATAATTTAGATGCATAATCACGGCAATGAAGATATACAAGCAACCAATAAGCCAAGAAAATATGCTCAAAATTACTGATCATCAGAGTAATGTAAATCAAAACCACATATCAAGCCCACTAGGATGGCTTTAATTAAAAATTAAAAAAAAAAACACATATACAATGAGAAGTACTGGCCAACACATGGAGCTATTAGGACCATCATATATTGCTGGTGGAAATGTAAAAAATAGTGTAGAAGCTTTGTTAAAGAGCCTGGCAGTTCCTTAAAATGTTAAACATAGAAATACCATAGGACACTTAGTGATTCAACTCCCAGGCATATACCCAAGAGCTGAAAACAGGCATTCAGACAAAAACATATACAAATATTCATATCAACACTATTTACAAAAGCCAAGGAGTATAAAGTCAACTGTCCATTAGCAGAGGAATGGATAAATTTATCCATTGGAATGGAATTTGTTCAACCATACAATGTAATATTATTCAGCCATAACAAGGAATAAAGTGCTGATATACAGTATAACGCTTCTTTGACTTGACATATTTTCAAGTTGAAAATATTAAAAATATGTCATGTCAAAGAAGCCAGATGTAAAGGTTTACATATTATAAGTCCACTTACAAAAAGTGTCCAGATTAGGCAAATCAAGAGACTGTCTGGACTGTAGGAAGTGGGCTAGTGGTTGTCAGGGGCTGAGGTACAGGGTGACTGCTAATGGATAGAAGGTTTCTTTGGGGACTGATGAAAAGGTTATAAAATTAGGTTGCAATGATTGATACACAACTTTGAGAATATACTGTATACTTTTAAGAGTGGATTTTGGGTTATGTGAATTGTATCTCAGTTTAAAAATTGGATAACCATTTCCTGAACCAGCTACACATAATATGCTAAAGATCTTACTACTCTTCCTACACTCTAAAAGACACAATTAAGCAGCTGCTCACTACTAGATTTATTACATTTTAAGAGTCAGCAGTACTTTTCAAGTTTAAAGTACTTTCAAATACATTATCTCCCTTGAATTCCACAGCTTCCCTCTAAGAGCAAGGCAGAGCAATCACCCCTGCATAAAAGTGAGTAAACACCCAGAGAGGTTATATGTGGAGCAGCTTCTTAGGTAAGTGGAGACAAATGCTAGACTGAAACCCCAAGTCCATAGCTCTTGCTCACTCTATTACTCTGCCTGGAATGTGCAAACTGGAAATGGGGCAGGAAGAGCCTCAGCTATCATCTAGACCATACATTCCCAACAATGGCCATAAGGCACAGAGAGCCAAACTGGTTCTCAGCAGAAGGGGAAGAGTTTAAGACATTTCAACTCAACCTTACCTAGCAAAACCTTATTCTCTAGTATTTAATTTCTCTTGGTGGGATTAGAGTAGCGCATAAGCAGCACTGACGCTGAACTCATGAAGATACAAGAAACATATGCAGGATCAGTGCTACACAACACTATGGTGCTACACAACACTATGATGAAGAGGCTATAATTGAGGACTTTCTTATCAGCTGGTCCATTTTGGAAGGAGTTGTATTGTGAGGCAGCCTGTGGATAGCTTACTGCTTTGAGAATGTTGTTAATATTTTGATCCTCAGTTTATACGTATTCACTACATCATTACTGTATGAAGTACTATGGGGGGAAATGTCACATTCTCAATGAATGTCTAGAAATTAGTTCATTTTCAACTGTTGACTCTTGCTTAATAACTATCAGTTTGGGATGGCTTTAAAAAAAAAAATATATATATATATATATGTAGGAGCTTTCCTGGTGGCACAGGAGTTAAAGTCTCAGCACTATCAAGCTATCGCCAGCCACCCTGGCATGAGTCAGGTCACCTGCAGGGCCGGGGATCGAATTTGTGATGAAGTGGCTGCACTAGATTCATCGTGCTGCACTTTAACCTGCTGTGCCACCACAAATGGTGTCCCTCCTACTACCTCTTTATACACAGCCATATCTACCTATCACTCCCTAACCCCTGGCAACCACCAATCTGTTTTCCATATTCATAATTTTGTCATTTTAAAAGGTGTATGTATACATAGAGTCATATAGCATGTAATCTTTTGAGATTGGCTCTTATCAGCACAATTCCCTTGAGGTTCACTCAGGTGGCTACATGCTCATTATGTGCTTTTTTAGTTGCCGAATGGACTTTACTCATTCACATAATGAAGGATAGTTTGATTTTTCCAGTTCTGGATTACTACAAATTGGTTTTATGTGGACAAAAGTTTCCATTTCTCTGGGATAAATGTCCAGTAGTGCAACTGTTAGGGTCATAAGGTAGTTGCATGTTTTGTTACTCAAGAAACTGCCAAACCATCTCTAGAGTGGCTGAAACATTTTACCTTTCAATTAGGCAATAGTTTTGTTAATTTTCAATTTAACTCTTAAGTTAAAAAACTGATATAACCATTCTTATCCTGGCATTGAATAAAAAGAATAAGCTTTATACTTACACTTTCTATTTATAAAATACAGATAAACACTACATGCATAAAGATACACAAACGTGTATGAAACTAAAATTTCACTGCAGGGGAGCAGAGTAAGAGATGAGGAATAAAGATGGAGGAGGACCAACATAGGTCACTCCACCAATAAAATAATGGCCTAGGTATTCTTTGGGTAGTTCACACCCCCGCAACATCTCTCATTAGGATGTCCATCTCAATTCCACAGTATATTCTAGGAAAGAGGCACAAAAGAATATCTAGAGGAGTAAACTATATTTGCCACAGTAGATTGACATTTAAAACCCCAGAGCATAGAGAGAAATACAAAAGATGTTTACTGAGTCTTATTTGACATCACAATACTTTTTGAAAACAACATTTACCCTTACAAAAGAGCAATTGCTTAATGCTTTTCAAATGAAAAAATATATCCTATGACAAAATGTCATACGTACCTTGCAACCTTGACCATCTTTGGATTATGCTGCTTGACCAAGGAAAGCAAGGTTTGCATTGTTTTGCCAGTATCAATTATATCCTTTCAAAACAAACAAAAAAACCACATTTTTAAATGGTAAATAAAACCATCATAGCTTTAAATTTAGTCATTATATAAACACAAAATATCAAAACCCCATGTAAATTGGAGTAATGCCAATTTTCTCACAGCAGTAATTCTCATCATAATTCATACACTGAGATATCCTGGAATCTAAATCATCTGGCTCTGAGTAAACAGTAGGAATGCCACTTCCTTAGGACTAGATTTTATAGATACTAAAAGGTCAATGACAGCAAATTTAAAAATATATGTGCAAGTATACACGTATGTGTTTTATTAGATTTGTGGTTCTACCCTTCATTGTAAAAGGTGTTTTAGATATTTTCCCCCTTAAGTTCAAGATTGGGATCTTCTTCTCCCAACTATCCAAGGTTAACAGATCATACTTTGAGAAACAATGCTTTATATTATCTTAAAAATATCCAAATTAATATGGTTTTACTATATAAAACAATCTTACATGAAAGTGACTCTGGGCCAATTTAGTTAAAAGCAGGAAACTATTCAAAACAAACTCATCTCTAATTGGAAAAATATTCCTTAAGCCACAACCCCAAAGTTCTTCAACAGAGTCCTTCAAATGGTATAAGCAGTGCTGTACAAAGTGGGATCTATGAGTCATCAGAAACATTAGGGCTCAGACTTGTCAAAATGCAGATTTCTGGCCTGTGGCAGCCAGAAGTCTAATGGCCCTAACACTCTTGCCCCTACTGTACGCACCCAGCATATGCCTCCCCGTGAGTGTGAGTGGAATCTGTGAAAATGGGTCAGACAGCCTCTTCCATGATTCACTGAGTTATGTTACACAAGATCCTCCTACTGGTGTTGAATTCAACCAAAAAGTGAGAAGGCCATGTAATAGACAGGACAGTCATTAGGTTCTGGGAGCAAGCTCTGGCCAACAGACAAAAAAAATGGGTCCTTCAGCCCTATAACTATACAAACTAAATTCTGCCATCAACCAGGATGAACTTGGAAGAGCTGGGAGTCATAGGTAAGCAAGATGTCACAGCCTTGATTCAGCTTGATTAGACCTACAAGCAGCTGACTCAGCTAGACAGTAGTTGGGCTTTTGACTCACAGAAACTGAGATAATAAAATGCATGTGTTAGGTAGCAGTACCTAAGGTAAATGAACCAATTTATTAAGTAGAATGAATGAATCATCTACATTGGAAAAGAGCAACCAGTTCCTGAGTATGTTCATAGATATAAAGTCTCTGGGAACAATGTCATTTATTTTTTAATCTATAATCTGATGTTTCTTAAAAAACAATAACAAAAATGATTTGGGGGATTACTGCTGATTATAACAAAATATATTTTACACTGGTACACACATACAACAGAAGTATAAATAAAGACAGGCATAGGAACTATTATACATATATATGCACACACATATATATGGGAATGATATTAAGTTCAGTTGTTATACTTCTGATAAAGAATGGAGCTTTTGCTATACTATGATGTTTAATTTTCTTAAAATCACTCTGAGGTTAGAAGCAAATAAGGCAAAAAAATATTAATAGTTTGTGGTAGGTACATGGCTGTTAGGTATATTCTTTCCTGATCTCAAAGTATTTTATAATTAAAAAGTAAATGTGAAAGATCCAAGTGAATTGAGGAATAAGAAGTGGTGTTGGCTTTTGAGCTAGATCTGAAAAGATTCAAACATAAGAGAAAGGGGGGAAGAGCATAACAGGTGCAAAAAAACATGGAGGAAACAGCAGAAACAACCTAAATGCCTATAACTGGTGAACAGTTACATGTTGTATATTCCTGCAATGAAATATTATTCAGCAGTACAACATGGATGAATGCAGAAAACACTGAGCTAAGTGAAAAAGCAAGTCACAGAAGCTATATATTGCATGATTCTAGAGATGTCAAGTAGACCGGTAGTTGTTAGAGGCTGGAAGAAGGGAGAATGGGGAGTGGGTTATGAAGATGTCCTACAATGAACTATGGACATGCAGTGAATAGAAATCATTGAACTGTATAATGTAAATAAGGAATGGTATGGTATGTGAATTATATCTCAAAAAATTATTTAAAAAAGGAAACAGAAAGGGGCCCTCCCTGGTGGTACAACGGGTTGGCATGCAGCACTGCAAGCTGGCCACAGCCACTTCAGTGAGTGTTCAATCCCCAGCCCCAGAGGTGACCCACATGGCGTGGCAGACCTCGCCTGACCCGCCTGCTGCTCCCTTCAGCAGTGTACTTTGTCGATCTGCCTGTTCTGTTCTCCACTCTGTCTCTGGTAACTCCTCTCACCATCCCTGCACCTCTGGCTTATACCCCAAGCTCTGTATGCACAACTAAATAAATCTTAAAAAAAAAAAAAGACAGGGAAAGAAAAATGGAGGTACAGGCTCTGGGAAAAGTACAAAGTGTAGAGACCATGAAAGGAAGCTACTGAAGAATGCAGATGGTGGTAAGGTTATGATGGGGGCCACACTGGAAAACTCAGACTAAAGAATGGGAGAAATAACAGCTCAGCAGGAGGCATATCAGAGCTATGCTTTAGAAATTTAGTCTCCCATAAAAATATAAAAGAGTGATTACAGACAAAAAGACAGTAATAAGTGATAAGGGGGGAAAGTATGGAAGAGGAAGGGGCACAAGATTTTAGGGAAGACCAAATGAGAAGGTGACTTATAAGTGAAGACCACAAGAGTAATTCAAGAGTTTTTCCACCTGAGTGTGCATCAGCATTATGCAGATGGTAAAAGTATAGCTTTTTTTTTTTTTGATTCAGTAGGTCATTTGCATTTCTTACAAGTTCCTGGCTGATCCTGGCTGATCCTGGCCTAAAGATCACACTGTCAGAACCAGTAAGCTAAAGGAAGTGAAATTCTGATCTTTTCACTTACTAGATGGCAATCTTGGGAACACTGCTTAACTTCTCTGCTTATTTCTTTAACACTTAGAATAGTGCCTGGCACAAAGGGAATGCTCAATAAAATGGCTGTTGTTACATGCAAAATACTGAAGGATATAATAGCAAGTAGAAAATAGAATAAAAACAATAAATATTGCATAAAATACAACTTAGCAAGACACGTGTTTTAAAATAAAAAAATTCAAGCCAAAAAGAGAAGGCTAAGAAGTATACCAAAATGTTTCTACTACCAGTAAAAATAAATTAGGATGTATTTTTTTACAAAATAAAAATCTCATTCCTACATAACATAAATCCACCATTAAAACTGATGAGCAGGTTTTGGCTTCCCTGACTTACCTTCAGGACTGTGCATACTAAGTTATGAAATCATAAACACTATATTAAAACTAGGTATAACTTACTTCAACAATCAAGACATTCTAGGAGGAAAAGAGAAACAAAAATCAGTACAATGAGTCAGTGTTTACAATCATATATCAAATCATATCATAAAACATTATAAGGAATTACCCAAACTCTTAGGGTATTTTACTATATCAAACTTTGATGTAAACAAGTGGGTCATCTGTTAGAATTTAGTACTCCTTAATATAAAATTTTCACTGCAATGGAATTTTTAAAAATGAAATTTGACATATATAATCATTTAACGATTAATTTTCATTATTTAAAGAGACATCTATTCTTGGGCAACTCATCAAAATTCTCTGGGTCTCAGTTTCCCATGTGTCAAACAAGGAACTTCAACTATATGTCTTCGAACCTACCATTCTAAGAAGTATAATTTGTAGAGAAATTTCACTATTATGCACTTAACTTACCATATGGAATCCAATTCAAAACCCATTTTTCCATTAAGTTGAAACTAACTTGCATTTTCTGGATATGATCATATTTTTGGACTAAAGAATTATAACCAATGCTTCTTACTTGGTTTCTACTTAGAACTTTATAGTTGGAAGAAATCTTAGAAAATACAGTCTAACAATTACCTCCAAAATAAAGCAGTGTCCTATCTGCTGTTATGCTAGTTACTGGAATGAGGTAGCATTTCACACCGTGATTATAATCATTGTCACAGAAGATTCATGCTTACTGATTATTTGTAGTTCTTATTTCTCTGTCATATACCTATAGGCTTCAGAATTTTATTGTTCTATATATTCTTCTAAGTCAGTGGTTACCAAGGTAGAACACATAAGATTAATTCACTTGGTTGTAAGAAAGAAATACCAGTACAGCTTAGTGAACAAGTAAATATAGACAACTATAGCCTACTAGAAGCCTATTGTACAGGCAGGAAAAAATAACTTATTATTCAAAATGGAACTCAAGAAAAAAAAAGACAAAAAAACTGGGCCAATCCAAAGGTATACAGCAAATGAACAATATGTCTCTTAATTTTATGAGACTCCATTTAATCCTAATTAAACTAAACATATAATAATGCATTTAAAAGTCATGTTCAAATGAATGCCAGTAACATGCAAGGGGTATAAGATTAGAGTTAGACTTTTCTTGGTTCAAACTGTGGCTCGATAACTAACTGAATGAACTTGATTTTTTTTACTTCCTTCTTTATAGAAACAGGATAATTATCTTCTTTATAGGGCATTAACCTCAGGAGGATTAACTGAGGTAATAGTAATACAGCATAGCATGAGATATGTAAGAAGTCAGTTCCCTCCATCTTCATATCTTAACCACCCCATTTCTTTTCATAGATAATTCAATCTAAATCTTTGGTAAAATTGAATCTAATCAATCAGTGGGCTAATAATTGTTACACTACCTACTATGAGGTTCTATCTCAACATTTTCTTTACCCTAACTAGCATTATCAGGAGGGTAACATTTTTCCATCAGTTAACTGTGGCTCACTGCTGCAATGATTTACAATGATGAACAGAATTATAGTGTGAAAACAGCACAGAGACACTGGGTTCTTGCCTTAGCTCTAATATTAACTAGCTACACAACACTGATTAACTCATATTCATAGTTTTCTACTATTATGAGACAGTTTATACAAATAACTGTGGAGATTTTGGATATTTGTCCAATACAAAATTATAGTACCTAGCATATGACCTCAATACTGTTTTAAAAATAAAAGAATGAGCATTGCCACCATTACTTTATGTAAACTAGCTACATCCTTACAAAATGAGTCTTAGAGTTCAAAGACTTGCCTAAAATCATAAAAGTAATCAAGTGGTAGAAATCTGAAGAGGTATTCCTACGGCTCAAAGGCCATATTCTGAACCACAATGGTAAAAGGGGGCAAAGTATTTATATACATATATCTCTGCACAGATAGTGCCCCCCAAAGATGGAAGTCTAAATAACCTACAATCTTACCCCAAGAGCTTCACCCAATATATGTGGCTTTAACATGACTATCATGAAAAGAAATTTATTTTTTTAATAATGTAACAGTTTATTTTTGCGCAATTTTGTGCCTTTTTGCATCTCAATTGTAATCCCCATGGGCTTCCTACCACCAATTCACCCATGTGTCATCACCACAGTCCAGTGCACTCTACCCCCCATTTTTGATCCCATTCCCCAATTAACCTCCGTAAAATGTCTGTGGTATATAGTTGTTCGTTATTATTATTATTTTCTCCCTGGTTGAAAAGTTATTTTTAAAAGGATACTTTTTAAGATCAGAGGGCTACACCATATGGCAGGGCCACTAAGTGGGAAAGGCAAAATCAAATGAATTACAAAAAGACTCTGAAGATTGCTTCCAGCAGTAAGAATTGGTAACAAAAATAAAAGGCTTCAAATGACTTCTAAATATGGGCAAAGCAAAAGAAAAGGGAAGGAGGACAGGTCAGGCAGTGGTGTATAGAATGGATAGGAAGGAAAAGAGCCAGCAGATTGTAACTTCTCCTTTTGAATTTTTCAAAGATGTTGAGGAGGAAACATTAGTTGGGCATGACCCTGACATGGGACCACAGAATTCGACACAAGTCTTGTATGTAAAAGTTTCCTTGTAGATACTGAAGAAAGCTGTAGCATTAAAATCTAAGCCAGAAGAAAAGTTTTGGAAATAGACCTACATTCAAATTCAAACTCTACCACTATGATTCTGAAAAAGCCCTTCAACCTTAGTTTCCTGATCTGTAAAATGGGGATAGCATCAACACCTCAGGATTGCTGCGAAACTATCACGAGGTTATGCCTTTCTATTTGGCACAGTGTATGTAAGTAAAAATAAATAAATGACAGCTTGAAAAAAAACAGCAAGAAAAATATTGAATCGTTTCACTCATAGCAGGAGTATAAGGGGAAAAAAACCCAATGGTAATAAAGTAAAAATTAAACTCAACAAACAACTATAAACCAGAGACATTCTATGGGAGTGGAGGGGGGAGATGGACCAAAATTGGGATGAGAAGAGCACACGGGACTATGGTGATGGCACAGGGGTGAACTGGTGGTGGGAAGTCCATAGGGATTACAACCAAAATGAAAAAATGTACAAAATGAAGAATTATATATCTATATATACATATACATACGTGTATATATATATATATATTTAAAAACATAGCTTTCTGTCATTTATCACTGTGTAATCAAAAATCATTTCCATGTATCAGAAGATTAATATTAAAAAATCTTTTTTTCTTTATAGTTTTAAGTTTTTATTTATTAGTTTAGTGAAGTACTATTGGTTTATATCCTTGCTAATGTTTTGAAAGGATTTCCCCCTTCAGATGTCACCACAGCATAACCACCATCAAAGCACCCATAGTTCTACAGCATAGTCCTTCCTCTCTACTACCTCAACCAGCTGTCTACATTCTGATATACTTTACAAACTCTACAAGATTTCTTAAAATAACAGCATGCTTGAATGCATTTAGTGTTCTAACTGCCAGAAACTATTGTAAAAGCTCCATATGCATTATTTCACTTAATCTTAACTCCCAGTAGCATCCCCACCTTACATAAGGGTGACAGGGGGTTAAATAGCCTACTGAAGGTCACACAATTAGGAAGTACTCAGTGAGCCAGACTGTGAACCAAAGCTGACAGGCTCCAGAACCCACACTTTCAGCCACTTCTTCTATACTTTTTAAGAGACTATGAGTCTATTTTTTAAAAAACTGTTCTGAGGGACCCCAAATTAGATTCTCAAAGATGCAGATAGCAGTATGTGACAATATGAGCACTTAAGTTTAAGGCTAGATTCTGCTACCTCCTTGCTATAGGACTTAAGGAACCATATGCACATTAGATTGCTTCCCAGGGTCAAATAACCCCAATTTAAGTGCATAGGTAACTATGAAAACTATCCTTTAATGACTGATGGAAAGTGCACTGTTACTCATAGACTCTAAGCATAGTGGTATAAGTGCCTTTTTTCCCTCAAGATACACACCTTTCCAGTTAAAGTTGAAAGATCATCTCCACCAATTACTTTTATGTCCCCTGTCGACTGGTCATTCTAGTGAAAAAAAGAGAAGAAAGATCTAAGTACATATATCCTTATATGTACCTACACCTCAAATTATCAAAGGGAACTAGAGTACTTAAGAAGTTAGATAACTAATGTCATTATGATATTCTAAATGATACAAATTATAGCAAGTATGTTTACAGAAATGAACAACTAGGTAACTTTCAACTAGAGATTAGTAAAAATTAAAAATTCCTAATCAGTCACTACTGACTTCATGTTTGTTTTTTTTTAAGATTTATTTATTTGTGTATACAGAACTGGGGTACAGGCCAGAGACTCAGGGGTGATGAGAGGCTTCACCGGAGACAGAGTGTGGAGCAGAACAGGCAGACTGACGAAGTACACTGCTGAGGGGAGCAGCGGGCGGGTCAGGAGAGGTCTGCCACGCCATGTGGTCACCTCCGGGGCAGGCGGGAATCGAACTCATGCGGAAGTGGCTTTAGCTTCTCAGTGCTGTGCTTTAACCTGCTGCACCACCAGGGAGGACCGACTTCATGTTTTAAGGAAAAATAGCGTACACCCTTTTCAAGTGAGTAGTATCATCAAAGTCATCCATCTTCACACATGGTCATTTCTGAACCATGAGGGGACTTATTAGCATGACGGGTGTCAGGGTCTGGTCCTGGAGTCAAGCAAGTAGCAAGGTCTGATTTTTATCACAATCATCCCCAAAACCATTTCTCTGAAAAGTCTAGCTCAGGCCCAAGTCGTCTTCTGCTTAGTCTTAGGAAATCAGGTCTGATCAGTAGTCCTTTAAGGCATATTTCTTAGGTTCCTAGTTTTCTGCTATCATCAGAATCCAGTAGAAACCCTTATAAGAAAGGAAAATGATTTATACCCACAGTAACTGGTGGACATAATAATCATAATTTGGCTATGCTGGATTTAAGACAGAAAATTGGGGTAAAAGAGCAGATAACTGGAAGAACTTACATTTGCCTTACCAGAGAGCAAACCATACTATACAGCTACAATTACAAGAATGCTGCACTAGCACAGCAGATAAAGAGATCAAGGAACACAATACAGTCCAGAAACAGACCTGGAAATATATCAGGATTTAGTATATGATAAAAATGGTATTTGAAGTCAGTAAGGAAAAGATGAATTATTCCATAAATGGGTTTGATAAACTAGTTATCTATTTGGGGAAAAAATAAAGTATGACCCCTACCTCACAGCATATATACAAATAAATTCCAGATGAATTAAAATCTAAATGTAAAAAATAAAGCCATAAGCAGACTGAAAAAAATGTAGAATATGTTCACATTCTAAAAAAGGATAAAAACCTAGGCATAACATGAGCCCAAACTGAAAGAAAAGATCTGTAACAAATAATCCTATTATATACTATGATCCAACAATAAGAACCTGATAGGAAAACAGTGAATTGATACAAATGGGTAATTCACAATATAAGAAACAAATACTAAAATAATGTGATTCTACAGTCCTTTTATGCTGCAAAATATAGACCTAATGATATAAGTTGGCAAAAGTAAGGTAAGTTACGCACTCTTGCTGATGAGCATATAAACTGGTACAACTTCTTAAGGAAATGATATAGCAATACCTATTAACATTGAAATATCCACATCATTTGCCCCAGTAATCCCACCTCCAAGAATCAGTACTAGGAAAATACAAGTACACAGAGGTATATATAATTGTTTACTCTCTCAACTGTTTATAGTAAAGCTGAGACAACTAACCTATATTTTTAAAAAATATTTATTTATTTATGCTTACAGAACTCGGGTATAGGCCAGAGGTGTGGTGGGTAAGAGGATTCACCAGAGACAGAGTGAGGAGCAGAACAGGCAGATCTACTGAAATACACTGCTGAGGGGAGCAGCAGGCAGGTCAGGAGAGGTCTGCCACACCATCTGGGTCATCTCCATGGCTGGAGATTGAACTCATGCTGCAGTGGCTTTGGAGAACTTCATGATATGGTGTTATAACCCACTGTGCCACCAGGGAGAGTCCACTAAACTATATTTTAATAGGGAACTACTTAAATTTAAGTGCATCTGCACACTGAAAACTTAATATGCATCTATTAAAAAAATCTAGTAAACTACACACATTGACATAACAATGTCAATTAAAAAAAACACTAACAGAATGTGCTGCCTAGGAAACCGCTTTTGTTGACTAGTTTAAAAAAATTATAATAGCAATGGGGGGAAAAGACTTTAATTTTATATGTTGTTGTTTGTGTTATTTTCTCCATATGTATGTTGAGATAACACTGTATGCAGTGTTGTTTCTGGGGGAAAAAAAAGGTCCAAAACCATTCAGTGTGACTTCTGACAGCAAAAACCCTTGAATGTTACTTAAGAAAATCACAAATATCCTTTAATTTTAATTAACTTAAAATTCTTACTTTTCAAACGTATAGAATCAGATTAGTATTAAAAAATATAAATAAAACCTGAAGCTTTATATCAGTGAATTACAGTAGATTTACACTGTAAATAGAATTAAATAGCGACATCTTCTGTAGTAATTTGATATTACAGTCCAACTCCAATTGACCCTTTCTTATAAATGTCTGAGAACTACAGTATATGTAGTCATGATAACCTATAATTAAAAGATTAATACAGTGTAACAGACATGAGAACTCCTAGTATGCAAAACACTGAAGCTCTAAGTTCCATATTCCTTTTCACCCCAAGGTTTTTATCTTAAGTCTATTTTGAGGCTTCTTTTCATGGAAATATAAATTGAGGTTACTAAAGATTCATTTCAGAAGGTTACAGTTCACTGTGCAAGAATACAGGTGTTAAGTGCCCAAACTGCATGCAAATGGAATCCATGCATCAATTACTCCACCAGAGGGATTTGCTTCCTTCCTTATGCCCCCCTTCCTTTCAGCCTGGAACTAGTTCCTCAATTTATACCTGTTTCATTACATTACTGAGATGACAGGACTAGCATAGGAAAGGTGAGTGTCCCCTACTTCCACCCACCTTAGTGTTGCTTTTCCTTCTTCTCTACCGTCCCATCTCATCTCATTCTTCCGAAAGCCCTTCTGTTCTTAACTGAAGAGTAACTGTCCACTACATAAAATCCCAGAGAAAATCTTTGGGTTTATAAACACATACCTGTATTTTCATTTTGTCTACCTTTCTCAAGTTGGGGGGGGAGTGAGAAGGGTAATGAGGAACTTTGTTTATTTGCTTATCCCTAGGAATTTTGAAAACCTCTAGATAACAACAAGAAACTGGAATTTAGTATAGGAGTAAGCAAAAATTCTATAAAATATGTAACAAGTGAACTGCAAAAAAACTGCTTGGAACAAGCAAGTTGGAACCTTAAAAGAAGGCTACAGAGAAGCCAATCACAAATGCTGGGTTCCTAAGAGAGCATGATAAGGCGTAATACAGAGGTAGGAAGTTCATACTTAGCACTTTGTGGCTTAGCACTATCTAGCCTGATTTTTGTAATGAACTTTAGATCATTCTTTCAGGACACTAGAATGGAACTTTAGGGAACAGCCATTCCCTCAACATCCAGTGAGGCCCCAAGTCTACCACATTGAATCACATTTTCTCTTCACACTATTACCTCAACCACCCTCTGACCTTTAACAGTTTTCCTGTACTCTAAATATCAACAAAATTGAGAACATCAGAATCATATTTAGAAGCAGACTGCCTCTCAGATGAAAAATCATAGCGACCTGGTTTGCTAAAAATATATGCATAAAAAAATAAGCCTGGAAGAAAATACACCCAGGTAATAAGCTAATTTATTCACTTGTACTTTGAGTTCTTACAAAAGAACATACTGCTTTTAAAAAAAAAAAAGGCTATTGTGTTTTTTAAAGCATTTTTTAAAGCATGCTGCTGAAGCAAGGCCTTTATCGATGACCTAACCCCTGTACTATCTAATACAGCAGCCACAAGGTCATGTGGTAATTTACACTTAAATAGCTTGAAACTAGATAAAATAAAAACATTCAGTTCTGCTGTTGCACAAGATATTTCAAGTGCTTGACAAGCAACATGTGGTTAGTGGCTATATTAGCACAAATACAGAACATTTCCATCATTATAGAATGTTGTCTCCAACAGCACCTAATTAAATCAAAGATACCTTTCATCACAACCTAGTATCTAAGATTGAAGGGTTAGTGCTGCCTTAATAGCTGGTATTTTCAAGTACCCTGTTTACAGACCTTCATGCTTTCATTCTAGATCTAGTTCAGGATTAGGAGTTTATGAAATAAATTATGTTCAATAGTACCGCTTTTCATGGCGTGAGATAGTTCCTTGCTTATACAAGATGACTGATCTGTGTTTCCTGAGTGAATTGATTTCCTTTACAAAATTTGTGTTCTCACAGAAACAAACACTTCCTTTATGTTCTAAGTATCGATGAGTTTATTTAAAAAAAAAACAAAAAAAACCTCAGTTTCCTGACTGAAAACCCACAGGCCAGGGCATTAAAGTATACTTTTAACCCTAATTTTATTAGTTTCCTTTACCATGAAAAATACACATCCTCATTCTTGTCGATTTAAACTGAACAAATTCTATAGTTTCAATTCAATAAGCAGAAGAAATGCATGAATCAATATACTTGTGATAGAAATAAGTTTGTAAAAATAAGCTTTTGTCAATAAAACCAAGTGATACCTTACCTTGAATTAAATTTCAACTCGTGGGGGGGGGGTGGGGGGAAATGCTTACCTCAAAGCAACTCCCATGCAGAGAAAACAGACTGAAACCTATTGGACTTTTGTAAGAAGAGAAACTAAGAAATGCATTTTCTTCTTATTTTTCTTTAATAAATCACTCAGCTACCTTCTTAAAAATTACAAATTACTATGGAGTATCTTTGACATATTAAACAGATAGCATAATCAAATTATGTCCATAATCAAGACCAAAAATTACAACTTTATGAATCTTGACTACAACTGAGGGGGGAAAAATCCCATAATTGGAAAAATAAATCCTATTTGCAGGCAAAGCCACTGATTAGTAGGGAATACAGAGTTAATGGCCTGGATTCAAACCGAAGACTTGTATGATCTTGGGCAAGTCACTGAGTCCCTTTGCATACTTCATGGTTCTCCAATATATGGGAAGGTAGTAATTTGTAACTAAGAAAAAAAGGTTTTCTATAAGAGTGCAAATGCTCAAAACAATTTTACTTTAATATAAGCCATTTAGTCTGAACACACTACAAAAGAGGCTAATTTCCCTTTTACGTAAGGCCCACACAAAAATATTTCCACAAAAATTTACTTCTTTGACAACTTTTCTTCCCAAGGCATCATTTCTTTATTAAACTATTTTAGTGGGGAAAGAAATTACCACAGAATTAAACTTATAGTGGGGAAAGCATATTTGCATATTTATGAATTATTTCATTTTTCTGACTATCACAGACCCTTAGGGATAAAAAAGATCATTGACTATATAGTACCACATGTAATTGTTCTAAGATACTCATTCAGAGATATTTTAATCTCTGAAGTGGATGTATTACAATTGAAAGCAACTTACCACTAAAATTGACAGTGTTTTCATAATTACAAAAAAATAATGGTACAAAAAATTATAATAAGGGACTCGATAGCACAATGATTAACGTCTCAGTGCTATCAAGCTATCATAAGCTACTGTGGCATTAGTTCAATCCCCAGCCAGGGAGCTACCCACAGGGCATAGTAGACCTCTCCTATCTCACCCACTACTTCCCTGAGCAGTGTATTTCAGGCAACTGCCTGTTCTGCTCCTCACTGTCACCAGTGAATCCTTTCACCACCCCACCTCTGACCTAGAACTCAGTTCTTATATGCATAAATAAATAAATCCTTTTTTTATTTTACTTATTTATGGATACAGAACTGGGGTACAGGCCAGAGGTGCAGGGATGGTCAGAGGATCCACCACACACAGAGCGGGGAGCAGAACAGGCAGACAGAAGAAACACACTGCTGAGGGGAGCAGCGGCCAGGTCGAGAGAGGTCTGCCACGCCATATGGTAACCTCCGGGGCAGGTGGGGATCGAACTAATGAGGAATTGGCTCTGGCTTCTTAGCGTAGTGCTTTAACCCGCTGCGCCACCAGGGAGGGCCAATAAATAAATCTTTTAAAAAAGGTAATAATACATGTTAAAATCAGTGGTCTCTTGAATTTAATGAAATACTGTATTGGAACTCTTAGGCCATCTCCCGGGTAGGCAGTAAGCAATAGTATCCTGCCTTTGGACACACAGATAAAGGTACTAAGAAGGTCTGACTGGTTGGTAAAAACAGGACCCATTACAGCGCCTCCCTGAGGAAAATGGTGAAAAAAAACTGGAATCAGCCAGCATGCCAAGTACATTTGTTACTTTTGGGGCAAAGCCAAAATGAAGAGGTGAGTGGTGGGACTCTGTCACTGTGCTTCCTACATGAAAAGGGTGCCTGGACCTACTTGCCACTTCTGTCGTGACAGTAAAGTCTGCCAACAAAATAATGAGGTAATAAGAAGACCAGTAGAAGCTTTACCAATTGAAACACTGTTCGCCTATAATAAATGAGCTAATTTATGCAGAAACACTTAAGAGAGCACATAATCTATAACACATGTGTATATACAGAGAAAAAAATTCTTTGAACTATTGAAAACTGGTAGTGAAAATTAAGATAACTTAATTCCTTTATAATTTTCTGTGCTTGTATGCTTTTATAATAAGCATGTACCTTTCAAGTAAAATATATTCAAATTTTATTTTTAAGAAAAACAGTTGTTGCTCTTTATATATTTTGGGGATATTTAATAGTTCAAACAGCATTTCTTTAGGATTACTACAGATCAGTCGGCATTTAATTTACTATTTAAAACTGGTCAAGATAAGCATGTAAAAGTGTACTACCATCACTGCTGCGAACAATTTTAAATTTCCATTTTATAATTTTATGAAATTAACTTGCTTGTTTTTAAATATGTATATGTGAATATTTTCCATGACAAGCTAAGAAATATTAAATAGGGTAGAAACATTACTTCAAATCAACAGAAAGTTTATAGAAGATCTTAATTTCTATTGTTTAGCAGTAAATCAACTCAGGATTTCACATGAAACAACTGATATATTTTTCTCTATGTGAAAATCAACTTAATTGCGTTTGTTTAAGATTCCATGCTTTTATTATTTGAGGAGTTAAGCTTAATAAACCTGTAAGACCTTAAACTAAAACTATTAGTTTAAAAACTGAAAAATGGAAATGGGATAAAAAATGTCAGTGTTTCTGTACCCCCATGTTTATTGCTGCTTTATTTACAATTGGAAAAACATGGAAGCAGCCCAAATGCCCAAAAGTAGATGACTGGATTAAAAAGATGTGGTACATATATACAATGGAATATTACTCAGCAACCAAAAAAGAGAAACACATGTCTTTTGCAGCAACTTGGATGGAGCTGGAAAAGATCATGCTGAGTGAGATAAGCCAGAAAGAGAAAGAAAAATACCAGATGGTTTCACTCATAGCAGGAGTATAATGGACCAGGCGAGAAAATAACAAAAATAATGAACAACCATATACCAGAGAAATTTTGCGGGGGTGGAGTGGGGAATGTGATCAAAAACGGCGGGGGGGGGGAATGCACGGGATTTTGGTGATGGCACACGGGTGATTTGGTGATGGGAAACCCGCGGGGATTACAATTGAGATGGAAAAAAAAATGTACAAAATGATGTAAAAATAAACTTTTGTAAAATAAAAAAAAGTCAGTGTTTCTACTGATTCAAATTATGCTTGTAACTATAAAATGCTTTTAAAGACAAAATATTAAAGTTAATTCCCCTCATTTTTAAAGGAGTTTTATTTCCAAAGAAAGAACATTCTGTGCAAATCCTCAGAGGAATAAAGTAGACTTCATAGTCATAAGTAACAAAATTGATATATGAAAGGAGATGGTGCTTAAGATCAAAAAGTAATCATATCATGGACTGTAAGACCATGTTCCCAACCTAAGAATTAATACCTGAAAGGCTGAGCAACTATAGTGATAGCAATACTAGCTAGAATTAAATGTTAGTGTAAACCAGAAAAAAAAAGTATACATACAGATTTAATTCTGAGTAAAACCTCCAATTTTGTGTTTAAACATCTTTAATAAAAGCAAGACTGAAAAAGTAAAAGGAGCTTATAAATATGAAATACTAGTGTGATGTATGAACATAAAGGATATTAATGAGTTAGGGGAAAAGTCTGATGGTACTCAAATGGTTGCCTAGTCACCAACAGGACTGATGAAAATGTTGAAAAGGTCAAAGTCTTGGGTCATTCAAATAAACAATTTATGGAGAGAATAAAGGTTGAAAGTTTTATTCACAATAAAAATGTAAACATAGGCATGTTTCAACAAAGATGTATCATAATAACTGATTTCATGGAATAGCAAAGACCAGACATTAATTCTAAATTATGAAGATACTAGAGAAATTCTCTTATTAAGCAAAGTAGTAACTCACAGGAATTACATGTCAGCACATACTCAGAAACAAAGTCTGAACTAACAAAAAGCAAACAGTTATAGGATCAAAGAAAATTTGGTAAAGAAATTTTTATGTGAGGATCACACTTATTGTGGCTCATCTCCACGTCAATATTGTTTATCATGTCAAAATTATCACTCATTTGAGACTGTGTGGCACAGGCGCAGGAACTGTAAACAAAAAGTGATTTCTTCCGCGTGCCAATGCTCTCACTCCATATGTGCTTTCTAGGAAACAAGTGGTTTACTCACCTATTTAATAGAAGACCTAACTCCATGACTATGAAACCCTTGACAAACCAACCAATCCTGAGAAGATATTTGTCACCAGTAAGTATAGTCAAAAAAGTAACCCCTAAGTTCAACAGCAATTCTTGAAAGGAGTTTTAAAAAATCCAAATAAAACAGAAACCTTTACAATAAATATATATCTATTTGAAAAAAGGTAATATTCACTTGGTGATAAATGAATACATCAAAAACCTCATTGTCACCAAGAGAAATGAACATGTACAGAGTCTATAGAAAATTACAGGAAAACCTAGTTGTTATTTAAAAATATATTAAATATACTTACACAGTAGCTCTTCAGCCTGATAAAATCTACAGTCATAGGGATGGATCTATCACTATTTCTGTTCAGTGCTTTGATGTAATCCAACAGATCAGCAAAGAATTTGTAGCCCCCCTTGAGCACACAGAGGGCTACAATGTGATGGCCTCCCATCTCCTTCATCACATCTCGGGCAAGTCGCTCAGTCCTGCAGAAATAAAATAAAAAATTGATTATCATAATAGGAATATATTGAGACTTTATAACAAATATCCTAATGCATCAAACTGCCACTAAACACATTCTTTGACCTCATGAAGTATATTTCTGCCTCATAGAGATATAAAAAAATTGCAACCTTTTGGGGGTAATTTTATAGTATTAAAACATCCAACGAACATCTTCCCCTTGATTCAGAAATTAAGTTAAGGAAATGTCCAAAACATACAAAAGAATGTTTGCTCCCTTCTAGAAAAATCTGTAGAAGCAAAATAATGGAGGTAACTTATATGTCCATCAATAGAGGACTAGTTGAATGAATTATGGTACACCCAGAAAATGGAATGCAATACATCCTTTAAAATATAAGGGATAGCTGTGGACGTACTACTATGAAAAAAGTCCAACAAATTTTAGATCTATATGATAGTACATATTTTTATGTTAGACTACATCTGTATATTTGCATATAGTACATGTGCATAGCCAGTATATAGAAAGGTAATATATCAGATAGAAAGCAGAGAGGCAAGAACTTTACCCTTCTGATTTACAGCCTCCGTAGTTAGATTATTTTAGAACACACATTTTAAATATCATAATTTAAAAATCAAGAATACAATAGCCAGACACACAATGCAAGCATTTAAACACCAAGTAAGGTTTTTTTTTTTCCATTGCACCTCATTTAGGGGAAATTTTCAACCTAGATGTGCCTAATAATCAATATCTAACCTTGTTTTCATGAGATTCTACCTTAACCCAGTACCTTGTTCAGGGTTGAAAAATCAAAGAAAAGTGACTAGAGTCCATTCTTCTAATCTCCCTTCATGGTTTATTTTATTCTACTCCCCCACAGATTCCTAGAGCACCATGACTTATATGGGGTAATTAACAAGCCAGTATTCTTCTTTTTTGGTAACAAGGGCTTTGAAAATAGAAAGTATCTATTATTTAAGGAGCTGCTCTAGTTTATGTTCATATTTTCAAATACTAAAAACAATTGCTGACACTTGAAATTAACAGAAAAAAAAATCAAAAGTTTCAATTTAAGACCTTACTAACCTGTCCATAATTAGTCCATGAGGAATAAACACCTTTTCCAAATCCTCAGCATAATGATTAGGTATACAAAATAAATCTAGGTCATACCCTGGTTCATCATCACTAATCTGAAAAAGAAATATATTTCAGTGTAAGATTTCAGGGCACAAATACTTGATAGGATTTAGATACTGAAAAACATTAACCTATCTGAGATCTTCAGAGTGAGATATAAAGAATTTTTCTGTAAATCTGTAGGCATGATAATTAATTATAGTTATACAAGAAATCAACTACATGTTTTAGAGATTAATAGTTAAAGTTGTAAAAGTTAAATTCCATGAAATGAAATCTCCTGTAGTTTAGCAAAAAGAAAAAAATCTGAAAGAGTTAAGACAAATGTGGCAAAATTTTGATATTTTAAACATGGTGATGAGTATGATATTCATTATATCATTCATTCCAATTCTGCATATTTGAAAACTTACTTAAAATTTTTTAATACACAATAACTTAGTAATTTAAAACATCACAGTGAACAAGAAAAATGGCTGTTTCCTATCCCAAATCCAAATAACCCCTCATCTCAAAT